TCATAAAGAGGCTCTGCCGCAAGAAACGTTTGGCGGTCTTGTTCGGACTTGAGAGTATGTCAATGACATTGTGCGTTATACACCACATTGAAAAAGTGTAAAAAACACATAACAGGTAACCAGTGAGCCAGATGTATTGTTAATCATTTTACGGCCTCATCAAACAGGGTCCGTCTGTGACGTCTAAGTTAAGGTCATGCTGCCTACACCTCGCCATAAAATATACAAATACGATGTTGTTAAAGTTTAAATTTAAAATTAACTTAACAATTCCACTTGCTTATGAAACAAGGAATTGGAATTCAGTGTAACCATAATTGTTTGTGGTGTCTCTTTTTACTTTCACATGAGAAAATTCGGCTGAAAAGTAGGTCATAGTCTGAATAGGTTAATGGGACTCATGTTTCGGTTTGCTGCCTGTGAGGCGCTAGAAAGTCGTAGTCACTTGACTTATCTCACCGGATACCCATTTTCTGCTGGGTGAACAGAGGCAATATCTGGTGTGCCCGCCGTAATATTGTTGGAATGTTGATAAAAGCGGCATGAAACTAAACTCACTCACTCTCTACTATGTATATGTGTATGTATTGAGAATTTATTGCGAATTTAAAGATTGTAATAGTTCCTCTATCAATCATATCCAGCCTTAAGTTTTCTGAACTCCTTCGTTTGTTTTAAGAAAAAAGAATACCAAGCCGCCTCCTGTCACCGACAGTCAATTTTCGGGCTCTACCTGCGCCTGCCTGGTGCTCAGTGCCATATCCATTTGCAATATTTTTCAAAACACGATAAACAGTGGACAAAGGGATGCTTGAAATCACTTTAGCTGATCTGATGTCCTTGTTATAATACTCTAAAATCAACTTCCTCCTCTCTAATTTATCCTTACTGAGGATCACTGAAAATGTCTTCTGCTAGCAAGTCAACAAAGGGGGATAACTCTTCACAAACTAATGAAAAAGGATTAACGGAGTTGTCTCTCTTGACTGAAACCAAACACTTGATAGCTGGTCAAGGTTGTTTATACTAGAAATCCAATTAAACATATTCCTAAAATTCTCCATAATTTCTGGTCATACTATATGTCCTTAACACAGGCTCTGTGATTGCCCTGTGGTGAGGACCATTTAAACTATCAAACTAGCAGTGTTTACACCTGTTGTTGCTTGTGTGTTGCAGGGACTCTACACCGGATGGCGGAGCGGACATGGACATGCTGTAGGACATTATAAACCAGACACATACCTCATGTGCCAAAATTCCACGCGCGTCTTGCTACCTTTTATGAAGGAGTAAATACGGATGAAAACCTGACGGGGAATCAACGCGCAAGTTACAGATTGCACCTTTGGGAAAATATATGCAATTACCTGCGCAAACTAATGTCCCACTCTACTGTTACTGGCCCGGTGCAGTAGATGCACAATGTAGTTGCAGTGTTAATGTGCAATAGACATGCAATCATGTCGGCATGTGACCAGGAAAATAATATTTATTGCAACTGTCCAAAAAAAACAAACTCCTCTTGTTCCATTTTTAGAACAGCAACGCTTTTCCTTTCAATCCAAATATTTTTTCTCCACTTATGACTCTATAATTATATTCTTTATTGAGACAGACAGAAGCCTATATTTCAAGTCGAAATACATCTAATTTTTCCTTCTTGCGAGACCTTAGCTGTTGCTCTGCTTAGGCTCTTTTATCTAATGCAAAACCCATGTCACAACCGTGTTTACAAATCCCCCACCAATACCAGCTGGGTCTCCTTGATACTGTGAAGACCATCTCTACATTATATATTCCAAGATAGCCATGTCAGATATATGGTCAGTAGATCTAGTATGCTTTGTTTTGATGCATAACTAACATGATGGAAACACAGTACGTATATCTTCAAACTGATCTCAGGACTCATATTAGTCGGACTCGTACAATCAACTGAGCCTTTAGCAGAGATGACCTATGGATGTGAACACGAAGGATGTTTATTTAACTTGTTCATAATCGGCTTGTATATGTTATTTAACAAATAAGAAGGCGCCCTTTAAAGGCCTTTGGCTGATGTCATCATCATTTGACAATGGTTCATTAACACTTATCTTGCCTCACGCATAAATGTCGTTTTCTGATTGGCTAAGCGCTCTTCTATTAATTTTAATGTACCCCGCTTACAAGCGAGCAACATTTTCTATGTTCCCTGCTTGGAGTGCCGAACTCATTTGGTACTTCGTAGTAGTAATTCTTTATCTCGAATAACATTGAATCACGTATAATGCATGGAAATTACCGATGTTTTGCGAAGGCAAATCGATGGAAGGGAGATAACTCTTTGTTTTTCTTGTCGTCTGGTACTCCATGCTATGATCAGATACCCGTGCTTCAAATAGTTCAAAACTACCATTGAGGTGTTGGGTAAGATAAATAGGTTGTACACTGGTCCTTCGAGGGTACATCAGCCCATGTCCCCCTCGAGACCAGTGAACAACTTATAATGTACCAATGTACTTGGTGTAGTCGGTGTCATACCGGCGACCCTGCTCTCGGTAAAAATGTCGTGTGGATGTGGTAAACGTCTTTGTTTTGTAGCTTCTATTTATCTTAGTGCATCCATAAGTATGAATGTGTTTTGCACTCCTTTTACAAATAAACTGCGTAAATACTTACAATGCGTCTTATTATCTATCTGTATCGTGTGGCTGGCAAGTTTGGTATGTTCCGCTATGATATTGCTGTGGTTGGTATCTAACTCACTAAACATTAACATGCTGACATGCTTTGGCTTACTAACACATAAGGAAACAAACAACAGCCGTTAGGAGGATAAACCTTTAATAGTCGAGCTGTAGGTGAGATACCTCGTGTTGTAGTAATAGTAGCAATTACGCACCAAGATTGGAATATACCTATCCAACCCGTTACTGTTGACAGACATCATTTGACAAAGTACGGCGCGTTTGATCACCTGTTTTAGGCCAGGTGAATTTTTTTTACGTCGTACTTAAGAATATTTTACTCATATGACGACGTGCATGCGTGTGTATATGTGACCGCGTGCACTAGCCCAGACTTAAGCTGGTTTTATATGTTAGCTCACTGAGATACCATGCCGCAGATAAGCATGAATACGCCACTCAGACACATTATACTGACTCCGAGCCGACCAGTCCCTGTTGTACCCATTGATGCAGAGCGCCAGGAAGGGATCAACAAGTACCATATGTTAACGTTTTTTGATATAACGAGGGAGGGCATCCAACCCGCGACCTTCTACTCGGATGCTCTAACCACTACACCTTAGAGGCGGTACGATCGCCTATTTGAAACTTCCCATAGTAACATAAAGGTCTAGTATACAACAATGTATGGTTCGGAAGCTACAACCAACACTCACTATAGCGGAATACCGGGACTATGTCAGGAATCCACGTAAACAATTCACTAGAATAACATCAGGCGCGTCTGACCGTGACTCGCACTTCGATGTTCAGGGAGGTAGGTGAACAACGCGAATGACGTGTTATATATGATACTGTGGTAACACAGTTATCAAGGCTGTGTGTATATCATATTGATGGGGTGTGCGTAGGAGGCTAGGATCCCTGATACTGTTGCTGATGTTGTCTTGTCAGTGTTTTATGTCGTGTCACCAGGGGACAGTAGAGTCGTCCTTGCTACACAGGTATCTACGCTACTGAGGCAGTGGTAATCCAGGGCCTAGATTTTCGAAGCTCTCTTAGCGCTAAGATAGTCGTAAGTGCCATACATTAACATTAACTTACGACTATCTTAGCGGTAGGAGAACTTCGAAAATCTAGGCCCTGGTCACTAAGCACATTGCATGGCGTTATAGCCACCAGTGACTGGCCTTGGTGTAAGTCCGTATTTGGGCTGTATGGCGTTATATCCACAAGTGACAGAGTTGGGTGTAACTTTGTATTTGAGCTGAATGGCGTTATATCCACCAATGACAGAGTTGGGTGTAACTCTGTATTTGAGCTGAATGGCGTTATATCCACCAATGACAGAGTTGGGTGTAACTTTGTATTTGAGCTGTATGGCGTTATATCAACCAATGACAGAGATGGGTGTAACTTTGTATTTGAGCTGAATGGCGTTATATCCACTAATGACAGAGTTGGGTGTAACTTTGTATTTGAGCTGTATGGCGTTATATCCACCAATGACAGAGTTGGGTGTAACTTTGTATTTGAGCTGAATGGCGTTATATCCACTAATGTCAGAGTTGGGTGTAACTTTGTATTTGAGCTGAATGTCGTTATATCCACTAATGACAGAGTTGGGTGTAACTTTGTATTTGAGCTGAATGTCGTTATATCCACCAATGACAGAGTTGGGTGTAACTTTGTATTTGAGCTGAATGGCGGTATATCCACTAATGACAGAGTTGGGTGTAACTCTGTATTTGAGCTGTAAGGCGTTATATCCACCAATGACAGAGTTGGGTGTAACTTTGTATTTGAGCTGTATGGCGTTATATCCACCAATGACAGAGTTGGGTGTAACTTTGTATTTGAGCTGAATGTCGTCATATCCACTAATGACAGAGTTGGGTGTAACTTTGTATTTGAGCTGAATGTCGTTATATCCACTAATGACAGAGTTGGGTGTAACTTTGTATTTGAGCTGAATGGCGTTATATCCACCAATGACAGAGTTGGGTGTAACTTTGTATTTGAGCTGAATGGCGGTATATCCACTAATGACAGAGTTGGGTGTAACTCTGTATTTGAGCTGTATGGCGTTATATCCACCAATGATGACTAGATGGCGCACGTGATGCAGGTGATCACCATTTACCATGTTGACCAAAACTAGAAATATGAACTTGGTAAACCGAAATTCGAAGTCACTGTCATTTTTTAATCACACCCAATGTACGCAAACAACACTCTCGGGATGTCATTGGCCAACGTCAACCTGTTGCTGTTCCAATAAGATATATATATATATGACATGTATGTACTATTATTATGCTATAGGTGAGGACCTCGAGAACGGAACAATCATCATCCTCATCACCGTGGTTCTTTCAGTCCTAATCGTCATCATAGTGTCCAGTGTAGTGTTACTATGGAAGCGTGCACAGCATCGTGCACACACCAGGTGAGTAATCCACAAGGAGGCGATTCTTGTTCTGTGTTACCTGAAACGTAAATACAGATACCCCTTGTTTTCAGACTAAGTTTCTATCACTGCTTAGTTCGTGAAGCAAATTCAAACCCATCATTGTAGAGTGATGGATGCACATGCAATGTCTTTATCCTTTGTCTGTTGTAGCAACGAATTGGAAAAGAAAGAAGCGGACGAGGAGATGCTTCCGCAAAAAAACGCGGCAGTAGATCTTAAGTTTAAATGTCCCTTGAAAATCAAATGTTGTGGACATGTAGCACAGTAGTGATATTTTGCAATTTTGTTCAGTTCATATAAACTACAGTTGCAATTGTTATAACGTTTAATGTCCGAAATGTGAATACCATCAGTCACACTGCACTGTACAAATGCAATAATAGTGCTCAAGTACACACACATCACTGGACACACCTGGCTATAGTGCTACAGGGATACACATGATGACAGTATTGGACACTCCTGGATATAGTGCTACAGGTACACACATGATGACAGTATTGGGTACATCTGGATATAGAGCTACAGGCAAACACACAAGATGACAGTATTGGACACACCTGGATATAGAGCTACAGACAAACATTCACGATGACAGTACTGGAAACACCTGGATATAGTGCTGCAGGTACACACCTAATGACAGTATTGGGTACATCTGGATATAGACCTACAGGCAAATACACAAGATGACAGTATTGGACACACCTGGATATAGAGCTACAGGTACACACATGATGACAATTTTGGACACACCTGGATATAGTGCTACAGGCAAACACACTCGATGACAGTATTGGACACACCTGGATATAGAGCTATAGGTAAACACAAAATGGACAGTATTGAAGACACCTGGATATAGAGCTACAGACAAACACACATGTTGACAGTATTGAGGACACCTGATATAGTGCTACAGGTAAACACACATGATGACAGTATTGGACATACCTGGATATGGAGCTACAGGTACAAACACATGATGAAAATATTGGATAACCCTGGATATAGTGCTAGAGGTACACATACACACATGATGACAGTATTGGATACACCTGGATATAGTGCTACAGGTACACATACACACATGATGACAGTATTGGATACACGTGGATATAGTGCCACAGGTACACACACATTATGACAGTTTTGGATACACCTGGATATAGTGCTACAGGTACACATACACACATGATGACAGTATTGGATACTCTTTGATATAGTGCTACAGGTACACATACACACATGATGACAGTATTGGATACACCTGGATATAGTGCTATAGGTACACACGCATGATGACAGTATTGGATACACCTGGATATAGTGCTACAGGTACACATACACACATGATGACAGTATTGGATACACGTGGATATAGTGCTACAGGTACACACACATTATGACAGTATTGGATACACTTTGATATAGTGCTACAGGTACACACACATGATGACAGTATTGGATACACCTGGATATAGTGCTACAGGTACACACATGATGACATGATGACAGTATTGGATACACTTTGATATAGTGCTACAGGTACACACACATGATGACAGAATTGGATACACCTGGATATAGTGCTACAGGTACAGATACACACACAATGACAGTATTGGATACACGTGGATATAGTGCTGCAGGTACACATTGTTATGGGTGATGAAACGTATTTTGCAAATATAATGTACAGTTTTAGATAGTGATGAGTATACTTGGTGTAATTAGTTTTAGTTTGGGGTGAGGGGCCTTCGCTTTCGCGAGAAATTGTTATGTAACTAGTGGTACAGCTTGGGGTTTGATGAATTCAGCTTTGGTCAGTTTTTTTTAATGTGGCCAGCCAGTTTATAGGGAGAAGCTCGGTGATTCTGATCTAGCTGGGATGTTTCTTGAGGACGCGAATTTTGCCAGTTGTGGTTGTACCCATAATGTGGATTCACAAACTTGCACCCACGTCGGGACTTTGTCAAATATGGAAACTAGGAAATCATGGTGTACAGGAAGGATTTAAAAATGAGGTGACTATGCCATATTGCTTTGCCCATAATATATCTAAGACAATTCCCTCTTCACTTTCCACATTTGTAAATTGGTATCCTGTATCAGTCTTCTGTTAGGATAGTATAAATAAATCTTCCTGAAATTAGTCAAATTGTTGTGTGATCCATTTTCATTGTTACGAGTTAATTGGTGTCATATACCCCTTTATTACTCCTTCACTCGTAACAACATACACACATGATGATAGTATTGGATACACCTGGATATATATACCCTTCTGTGTGTAGTAGTTTACAACTTACATTCACTCACTCATCCATTCATGAATTCAATAAAGAAGTGTTATATTTGGTGTTACTAAACAAAGCGACAAATGCCAAACGGAATACATCATCCACACCATTCACGCTCGTAATCAACATGCTCATGTATTTCAGGGACAATTATCTTTTCACTGGTCAATGTAGTGTGAAAGCAACATGATCCAAACATATCCAAGAATTTATTTTATTATTGCTTCACTGAATATAATGAATACATCATCAACTGCTGACTTGTCAATTGGTTGGTTACCCAGTATGTGTTATGTATCTATATTTGCCCCATAGTGTGTTTGGTGCAGCTCTGGTGTAATAACTGTACCTTGCTGTACGTCAGTGTGACCACGGTTGATATCTAAAGTACTGAACGTGTACATGTGTTACTTCACACTTGGTGAGGTTCCCACCTTGGACTATTGGTGACTACTCTACAGGCGTCCATCAGTGACTTTATGATATGGACAGCTGAGAAAAATGAGTAAGCGAGTTAAGACTTATAGTGACATCGGCAATATTTCAGCCATATACATTACAAAGTTATAAATTAACAATGAACGCAATTAAATTATGAAGCAACCAAACAAAACAGAACACCTGTCGACAAAGGATAGTAGAATAACTAGATTACCACAGCCAATTAAAACTAGCAAGGTACATTTTAATTTAGAAAAATAGTACACAGAATACAATATTTAAACGGACTGGAGATCACCAACAACTGAAGGTACATGTATCACAGAGAAGGTTAAACTAGCAGGTAATCATAAAACGATACTATTATAGAGAACAACACAAAATAGAAATGGGCTATAGATCACCAGTAACTGAAGGTTGATCACCACACTAGGGACCATGGGGTACCCACCAAAGATTGTGTTCATCCAAGGATATATCTAGATCTACTCTGAGGACAATTATCAGTCTGTAGGTTGAACACCACACTAGGGACCATGGGGTACCCCCCAAAGATTGTGTTCATCCAAGGATATATCTAGATCTACTCTGAGGACAATTATCAGTCTGTAGGTTGATCACCACACTAGGGACCATGGGGTACCCACCAAAGATTGTGTTCATCCCAGGATATATCTAGATCTACTCTGAGGACAATTATCAGTCTGTAGGTTGAACACCACACTAGGGACCATGGGGTACCCCCCAAAGATTGTGTTCATCCAAGGATATATCTAGATCTACTCTGAGGACAATTATCAGTCTGTAGGTTGATCACCACACTAGGGACCATGGGGTACCCACCAAAGATTGTGTTCATCCCAGGATATATCTAGATCTACTCTGAGGACAATTATCAGTCTGTAGGTTGAACACCACACTAGGGCCCATGGGGTACCCACCAAAGATTGTGTTCATCCCAGGATATATCTAGATCCACTCTGAGGACAATTATCAGTCTGTAGCAAATTCCTGACATAAACAAACATATTTCCAAGTCTAAAAATCTTCATACCTTGATATAGTGCTTCCGAATATATACAAATTAGAAAGTATTCTGATTCAATTCTGAATAAATATTTCTCCCAACGTGCCTCCCAGTTAAGGGTTTTGACTGCACCAGCAAGGGAGTCCATAGGAGCCTAGCTTGCTAATTTCAAGGGTCCTTACATGAAATATGAGGCCCTGTGAAGTAATGAATTTGTGTAGCGTACAGTTCTGTAAAATTTAATGATCAATTTAATTACAGGAACTTTAGAGTGCTTGTATGTCCCTGGTCACGCTATGTTCTACACATACAGTTTATGTATCTGTGTGCATTATTTTGTAAAACCCTGATAAAGTCTCAACCTGAGATTCTCTGTAGAATCTTCGTACCTACCTGCTGCAACCCATAGTTTAACATCGCCGTCAAAAAGTGCAAAGTATACAAAATAAGTTGATTAACAGCAGGGTTGGATCATTTCTTTCAGACTTTTTATTGCATTTTGCTCAAAGTATCTTCTCAGATTATTACCAGGAATGAATCTTTTTTTCCGACTTTGATAGGCATTGTAGAAGCTGAGGTGATGAAGAATGTTGATAGTTTTATGAATATACAACTTTTGTATTCTGTGAATAAAAGGCGACGTTTCGGCACAGATTCTAATGTCGTTGTCACTTGATCACGAACAGAAGACTATAAAGTATGTGCTGAAGCCACAATCGTAAAACCAGGTTTTTCCTCTTAAATCAACCATCCACATATGAGTATAATTGGTACTGAGATTCTGCTAGAACAGATTCCATCAAGTATAAATCCTATATATCTATGGACAATTGTAAATCAGTCATGACACATCTGGTTGACTGGCTATTTAGAAGTTGGCAGGTAACAAGGCATGATACAAGTCATGACACATGTTCACAAATAGTTGAGGATGAAAGTGCAAACAATTGCAAATGGAGAAGCATGGACATATTTCATTCAATACGAAGCCTCCAGCCAAAGTATGCATTTGGTTTCTAGGGCCTAGTTTACATAATGAACGGTTCCTAAGTCTCTAGTTGTCTACCTGATGTAAAAATAAGGTAGTGTCTTATATAGACGCAAACAAAACATGCATATGATGTTTAACATCCTAAACCTGTACTGGCATAAGATATGAAACATACATGTGTATAAAGGTGTTGGTAAAACTCCACCATGCCATGTCAAGCAGTTTCAACAGCTATTTCTATTTTAGCTATGGTTTACTGTAGCATTTTGTAGAATCATTTATAGAGCAGCGCCATGACTGTTTCAAGATATCAGAAAATCTTCCAACAAATACATGAGATTGATGAAAATCAATAACATTAGTAAAAACCTAACTAATTAGTTATTCTTGTCTATGTCAGTTCGTTTCGCTTGGGACACTTTCAGGTGACTATGTCGCAGACGGTGACCATGACCTTTCCTCCGTCCAATACTGGTTGAATGTCCTCGAATTTGCTGTCCCTCTCTACCTACCACTTTGATTGTCACATGTCTGAATGCACAAAAGCGGTATATCCCCACACACATCCCTGCAAAAAAGCGAATGTTGCCGCAAAATAATGTTCGGTTTGCTAAACGAGTTATTTATTTAGGTGTCCAGAATTATGAGACAATTGGTCTGTCGACTCCATGTTACTGTGCAAAATATGGTTTTGTATCATTTATTAGATTTTGTGTTCGTGAGCAATTCATCGGTCTCAAATGAAATCAATGGAGTGTATGTAATGTTCAAAGGCGATGTGGGGCACGGAAAGACCAATATGAGCCCAGATGAGTTAGTCGTGAAAGAGTTGTCTCCCCGCAACAAACTTTATCAGAGGCGATTCAACCTAGTTCTAGCACTTTTACTATGTATTATCTAATTACGTTGGATGCTGATAGTGCTATGTTAATTGCGAGGAAAATATTATTAAGGTTGTTGTCAAATTTTCTTGAAATAATGCCACCCCGTTGTGTTATCACAGAATACTTACATGACTAATGAACCCACAACATAGATATCAGGACTCCATCTCACTTCACCCATGTGCCACTACTCAGCCGGAAATATTTCGGTGAGGTGAGAGGAGCACAATGCAAGCCATTGACACCGCAAAAAGACAAATGAATGCCATTCTAAAGACGTGGCACAAGGCTCGCACGTTCACATTTCTGATAATTGATTCATCTGTAAAATTACCGTGTTGCTTCTCTTGCCAACTCATAAATAGGTGTGATTTGTGAGGAAGATGAGCGTTTAGTTTGTAATGGAATACCTGTGAAAGTTTGTATTCAAACTTTATGTCTCTTATTGCGAATCAAATTTATTTGCCCAAATACTACTTGCGAAAATAAGGATGTGACTATTGGACAGACTGATCGGTAACCAGACTTTGCACGGCTCCCATTTCTATTGGCATCAGTGTGGGGCCAGAAATTCCAGTTCTTCGTACTTTGAGCACAATTTTCAGTCTGGGCAACTTCCAGTTTCTGTAATTACTGATGCAAGAATTACAGAGAAAACAATCATTTTTATTTTGATTTAAGTTTAGACATGAACAGGCGTACATTGTAGCATCTGTACAGCTATTGGCTACTGTTGGACTGCAACTACCACAGCGCTCCAAGCGGGCAATGGAATGCATCTCCACTGTGTCCCGTAATTATCAGTTCTTTCAAGCTATGTCAATTTTCAAAATGATATTCATCAGTCATTGAAAACACACTTTGTGGCAAAAACAAATGTTCATTTTGAACACATGTGCCAATACTGTGTGCAAACAGTGTGCTTAACAACATTAAAGTTCTATGCGAGTTACCACAAGTTCAAACTCTCCGTTAAGCTCTCGCTGCATCCCCATCGTCGTTGTCGAAATGTTGTACTGCCAGTACGTTGCCATGGCGTTAGCCGTTACTGACAACATTCAAACTTCCATCTTCATAAATGACAGGAACACACACGTGCGTCTCCTAACATACAGGAAGTGTGCATGCGTAATACTAGTTACAAAAACTATTGCCGTTCATTTTGTGGAAGGGGCATTCAGTAATATATCATATAAACTCATATTGACTAGTACTCATCATAAACTCTTGTGTGTGTGTGTGTGTATGTGAGTGTATGTGTGCGTATGTGTGTGTGTCTTATTGAGGGTTAATTAGAAATTTAAAACCTAAATTCATAACACTTTATTCACTTCCCTTCACACGAACAATATTAAAACATTAAGATGAAATTTTATTGTAAAGCCTGCTGCAATCTGGTTCCTTTTCTTCATTTCCCCGGGTCCGTTTACCTCGATATAAAGCTGGTTGCAGGTTCATCCTTAGCTACCACTTTAAATATGTTGATTATAGCAACAAGAAGCCTTATGTATGTATTGCCTAGTTTGTTTACTTTACTCACATAAGCTGTTGTCAGGTAAGTACAATTATAGGAAAACCAATACATAAAGTGACCTGAATGAACCAAATATAACTACACGAACGAGATCTATGCTGCTTAATCCATACACACGTTGACGATGTACGATACAACTAAACCATCAGGGCAAGATGTGGACGATGATCACCACCTCAGTTTGCACATTTAGGATCATTTATAACAGGCGGAAGCTTGATGATCTTCACAACAACGTTGAGCGCTACGACAGGATTTAGAACAGTGTCCAAACCTCTGACAGTTATAATATCACAGTGGATTTGGGATATACTCATCCACTCCGAAATTGATATAAATTTTGGCGATTACGAGTGGGAAGTGACTGGTCCTGAGCAGCAAAAAGGAAGCCCTCAGTTTCACATCTGAGACCAGCCGACTTCATACAGGCGAAGGAGTCGGTGGGACTGCTATTTTGTTCCACACACTGCATGTACACACGATGCAGTGGCTTCTCGGAAAGCTTCTCCACAAAAGACCGACTCTGGGGCAGACTTGGTGAAGGACTTCACCTGGTTTACTCCTATCGCTGTACCGTTCAGCAGTATATCGCCATCAACAAAACGAGCCTCAAATTTCAGATTTTGTCCAACAACCTTGGCACACATAAAATAGCTGTGTTTCTTTTACCATGAGTCCGGGCATGTATCACCAGGATGCAAGAGGATCATCCGATAAATGAATATGTGCAAAAGTACACAATCAAATTCTATCATGAAGAGCCTCCACATTAATCAAACCCCGACCTCCAGAATTGATTGGCATATATAAACGGTTAAGAGAGGAACGAGGGTTGTCGGCTCTGTTATCAGACATGATCCTTCTGGTCAGGCGGTCAAGACTCTGGATGTCTTGTTTTGTCCAATTAACTACTCCAAAAGAATAGGAAAGGACTGGCACAGCAAATGTATTGGTGGCTTTGACCTTGTTTCGAGCATTTAGCTCTGACCTCAAGATTTTCTTTAAGCGAAATTTGTACTCGGCCCGATGTTTGTCTTGAATCAGGGCATTCTGGAGCTGTTATTATTATGTTTTACAGATTAAAAATAGTATGCAGCAGAGAGGGTTTTGGAGATCCTGGCACAGTCAGGCTGGTAAGGCTCATCATCAGCTCAGGGCCCTTGTCCCCCTCTACACGCAGCCCAGACAGCAAATGCGACTTCTCCCAGGAAACACTGCCTAGTCGAACCCACCGGAGAATATGAAGGCTTCCCAACACTGCAGGCTTCTGCATTTCCCAGAGTGTCCTGTTGTCACGTGTTCTGTTTCCACGTGTCCTGTAGCCATATGACCTGTATCCACGTGTCCCGAAACCACCTGTCCTGTATCCACGTGTCCTGTATTCACGTGTCCCATAAGCTGGGCTTCGAGCCAGTACCACGCCAGCACAAGGACCGAGCACATCGCTTTAAATACACAATGCCACTTACAGTTTCCTGATGATCATCCATGTGATGTGTGATGGTGGATGTATTCAAACGTCAGGCTTTTGTGTTTGCATAAATAATTGTTTATATATAAGACGTATTGTTAAGATATATTAAGTATTGGTTGACAAAAGGAGAAATACAAAACCAACCGACATGAAGAACCCCACGAGGGCGAAAATATCGGGGCTCATATTTTTCGTACGATGCTCAAGGGCAAAATATCACTTTTCTTCTGTGACGCTATATTCTACATGCGGCGAACGTGTAAGCAGTTGATAGAAATATAACCAGGATATTTAGAACTAAAAACATTATATACATTTCATAAAGATTTAGGGAAAATTTTGTATTCCATATTGTATTCTGATGTTGCATGCTTTGTACATTTAAATTTTGGATGTATAATATGGTGTTATATTGTGATTTGTGAAGAAAGAAAGGAAGAAAATGTTCAAGAATCCAAACTTTCAATATTTGATTAAATTTGTAATGTAACATATGTTATATTTGGGATTACACTTTCTTAGTAAAGTACAAATTCTAGTACTTTTTGAGTTGAGCCCCATCCGGGATTCGAACTCACACCCTCAGTCAGGCACCTAATCGCCAGCACACAAAGTCAGCCGGCAGTCTAGACTACCAGTTGTCCGACTTCCATTTTTGTGGAAGTCGCGGTAACTGATTGGGTTAGGGGTCTGAGAAAGTGCTTTGACCAAGCTAACCAACTTCTTATTGATTCACTTTTCTTTGGAATAACAATTTCTCTGAATTGACATAAATGTGGAGGAAAGGTTAGATCGTGTGACTCTACACAATTAGGTGGATGGACATTCGGGAATCTAGATGGTCAGTTTGTTGATAAATGGGCACACAGAGGATCTAAAATGATTTGATTAAGTATCTTCTGGTGCCCACCAGTGTGAAATATTAGTTAGATATTTGTTAAAGATGTCAATGTTTGGTTGGTGAATGGCTTAAAGCTAACTAGCAATGTCATTTTATTACTGGAAGAATTTGATGGTACCAAATAAAGTCTCGGAAAGGGACTAATGAAAGTAACTAATTATTAAGATGGGATATGAGTCATATTCGTATGACGTAGGCCATTATTTCGGGGGGAGGAGCCAAAAATGTCAGACGTTCTGTTTTGTCACAAGTCGAGGGAGCAGAGCGCGATTCTGGGCCCCACCGTTGACTTGAAAGGCTCTCTCTGTAAATTCAGAGAATAGCTCAGATGAACTGATAGTATTAAGAATTCTACAAGAAACCAATAAGTTCTTCCAGAAAGTTTGTGAACCAATGTTGTGTGTATTTCCGAACTAATTAATTTCTGAGGACCTTTGTGCAAGAATTCATTCAAAAATAAACAGGACTTGAACACCATACTAGACTTATCTTTGACTATCCATCTCAGATACATCATCCCCGGAACAAGAGTAGATAGACAGACTGCCTAGGGAGAAGGGTACAACACCCAGACACCCTCAGGTAACAGAAATATATACAGATAATAGTATGTAATAATAACACCATAATGAACTTCATAATTCAACCTCATATCTTTCGAATTTAAACATGGTTTCACAATTGTATGTCTTATGCATGAGCTTAATAAAAATTAAGGAAAGCAGTGACATTAAAATGATATGATTGAAAATAAGTCAACATTGATTTCAGATACCCACCAAGCCGATGGTTTACATCAAAGCCAATGAAATTGATCAATATTTGTTATTGTGCAGTACTATCACGAGGACGAACAACGGAATGACGCTAGTGAAGTGTTTAACTAATACACATCTTCAGCACATAGGAATACCAGCAGTCTTAACTATCATTAGAAACTTATTCCATTTGATGTCAGGAGGAATATAGCTGTAGAAATCATGGAATGTACAACTAGTAATCCTGGGAAGACACCAGGTGTTCGCGAAAAGGGCCCCGCGCTAGGTAGCTATAGCACCTGCCACTCAACAGGTAGGTATTTACAACACAACACACGAAATATGATTATGTGTGTGTGAGTGTTAAAGCGATTATAACTCTCCTGGGAAGAATGAACCAAGTTCGTCAAACGGTACGGTTGATGTGCTTGGTGGTGATTACTGGCAACGATTACTCTTCCTGGGTTAGAGTAGCGCCTGTCCCATAGAGAAGTAATGGTAATTATCTCTCTCTCTCTCTCTCTCTCTCACACACACTCACACGCGTGAAGTCAAGTGAAGTCATAATTATTGCTTAAAACCACACTGACAAAGTTGACAACCCAAGTTAAAGGATTTATTAACCGAAGACAATGAACACCATTCTACAGGACTAAGGCTTGAAGTAAGCAAAGACGTAGACATCCTACATCTAAGTAGTTTTTACAAGCTAGCAGCGCTAATAGTACATTGGTCGGCACAGGGACATAGTAACGTTCAGATCTACATCAAGACAGGGACATAGTAACGTTCGGATCTACATCAGCACAGGGACATAGTAACGTTCAGATCTACATCAGCACAGGGACAAAGTAACGTTCAGATCTACATCAAGACCGGGACATAGTAACGTTCAGATCTACATCAGCACAGGGACATAGTAACGTTCAGATTTACATCAAGACAGGGGCATAGTAACGTTCAGACCTACATAAAGACAGGGACATAGTTACGTCAGACCTACATCAAGACAGGGACAAAGTAACGTTCAGATCTACATCAGCACATGGACAGAGTAACGTTCAGATCTACATCAAGTCAGGGACACAGTAACGTTCAGATCTACATTAGCACAGGGACATAGTAACGTTCAGATCTACATCATGACAGGGACATAGTAACGTTCAGATCTACGTCAAGATAGGGATATGGTAACGTTCAGACCTACATCAGGACAGGGACATAGTAACGTTCAGATCTACATCAAGAGAGGGACAGAGTAGCGTTCAGACCTACATCAAGACAAGACATAGTAACGTTCAGATGTACATCAAGACAGGGACATAGTTACGTTCTGATCTAAATCAAGACAGGGACATAGTAACGTTCAGATCTACATCAAGACAGGGGCATAGTAACGTTCAGACCTACATCAAGACAGGGACATAGTGGACGTTCAGACCTACATCAAGACAGGGACATAGTAACATTCAGACCTACATCATGACAGGGACATAGTAACGTTCAGATCTACATCAAGACAGGGACATAGTAACATTCAGATCTACATCAAGACAGGGACATAGTAACGTTGAGACCTACATCAAGACATTGACATAGTAACGTTCAGATCTACATCAAGACAGGGACATAGTAACGTTCAGATCTACATCAAGACAGGGACAGAGTATCGTTCAGATCTACATCAAGACAGGGACATAGTAACGTTCAGACCTACATCAAGACTGGGACATAGTAACGTTCAGACCTACATCAAGACAAAGACATAGTAACGTTCAGACCTACATCAAGACAGGGACATAGTAACGTTCAGACCTACATCAAGACAAAGACATAGTAACGTTCAGATGTACATCAAGACAGGGACATAGTAACGTTCAGACCTACATCAAGACAGGGACATAGTAACGTTCAGATCTACATCAAGACAGGGACATAGTAACATTCAGATCTAAATCAAGACAGGGACATAGTAACGTTCAGACCTACATCAAGACTGGGACATAGTAACGTTCAGACCTACATCAAGACTGGGACATAGTAACGTTCAGACCTACATCAAGACAGGGACATAGTAACGTTCAGACCTACATCAAGACAGGGACATAGTAACGTTCAGACCTACATCAAGACCGGGACATAGTAACGTTCAGATCTACATCAAGACTGGGACATAGTAACGTTCAGACCTACATCAAGATAGGGACATAGTAACGTTCAGACCTACATCAAGACAGGGACATAGTAACGTTCAGACCTACATCAAGACAGGGACATAGTAACGTTCAGATCTACATCAAGACAGGGACATAGTAACGTTCTGATCTAAATCAAGACAGGGACATAGTAACGTTCAGACCTACATCAAGACTGGGACATAGTAACGTTCAGATCTACATCAAGACTGGGACATAGTAACGTTCAGACCTACATCAAGACAGGGACATAGTAACGTTCAGACCTACATCAAGATAGGGACATAGTAACGTTCAGACCTACATCAAGACCGGGACATAGTAACGTTCAGATCTACATCAAGACTGGGACATAGTAACGTTCGGATCTAAATCAAGACAGGGACATAGTAACGTTCACATCTACATCAAGACAGGGACATAGTAACAAAATCTGTTGAGTTGAGTCGTGCTAGAGTTTCTGGAACGTGTTCCTTCTCTGGATGTTTCACATAGGACATGCCCTGTGAGAGTGGAGGATACAGTGATGAGGAGGCGTTATCCCGGCTTGTGGTGATCCTCCCGCTGTGTCGGCCTTCCTTCCCCTCACATCATCCCCTCACATTTGGGGCGCAGAGCCGTGTAGATGTGGACGTGTTCTTCCTGCCCGAGAGCCACGTAGTCAGCTGCAGAATCAGACCTGTTGCTTGGCACCGGCAAGATGGCACCCTCGTCATTAGCTGTAGCATCAGACCTGTGGCCTGGCACCGGCCATCTGGCACCCTCGTCATGAGCTGTAGCGTAGTGCTGCTCGCTTGTAGCAGAAGATTCTCTGTTGATGTGACCATATTTGTTTTTGTTTCAGCCAAGAAGCCAACGCTTATGGGCACTTGAGTTACAAACGGTTAATACTGGAGCAATTACAGACCCACTTTCTCGAAATGGCATAACACTAAGATAAATATAAACTATATGTCTATCATAAATTTGAAACCACAGAAGATAATAAATAAAAACTATTTAAAAAGTCATTAAAGTATTTATATTGTAATTATTGCTAGTTTTCGCTAACTAAAGTGAGAAACGTTTCCCTGAAAGATTTGTAAGTGATTATTATGTCATATTGTCCTTCATAGATTATGTTATTGAGCCCAGTCCTAAATGAAGAAATCAGACATTTTTCATATATTTGTACCATGCATTAATTGTATTTCTGTGGTAGATATAGGTCATGGGTACCTCATGTTTGAGTAGGACACCCTGGCACCCTCGACGTGGACTGTAGCGTTGGGGGACTCGCTGCTGGCTCTGTTGTTCAGTGCAGTCAGGTGGGCAGCATACCTGGAGACGACATACATGCACTGATAGAAATATATGTATGTTTATTCTGACAAAACAATATTTTGATACAATGTAACACACCCAAACATTTAGGTAGTTAAACGTTCAAATATATATTATTTTTATGTGAGTGTATATGTGCGAAAGCAGTGTGTGTGATTTTGTGTGTGAAAGCAGTGGTCATATGAGAACGCAGTGTACATATGTGTGTGTATCTCTGTGAAATATTATGTGTTTGTGTGTGAAAGGAATAAACAGGTGAACACTATATCAAACCGTTTTTATTCGACAACATGCACATTTGACTGTGCAGAAAACGAAAACGATTAGTATGATAGACTAATTATGTAGAACTTTTATATGCATGTTACATGAAGTGTAGAGGTTGATCCTTCAGAAAGGTGCATTTGTTCCAGTCAGTTATCCCATATGTTACTTACCTTAATTTCCGTTTTGCTGAAAAGTAGAGAAGGAAGAGTTTTATTACACGAAATTACAAAGTAGTAGGCAATTCAGTCTGTGCATTCATCGACAGTTAGCGTTTATCCTTGTCTCTGTTAGTACTTCCTCGCCTAACGACCACTGTCCTTTCGGTCCTGAGTTCAACCTTCCTGCTAGTGTGGTGATCTGCCATCAGTTGCTGGTGATCTACAGCCCGTATTTTAATGGTAGTAAATTTTACCTTTGTGTAAAATAGAATATTGCATTTTTTTAAATGGTTAGTTTTCAGACATAAATTGTGATAATCTTGCTAATTTATTATTGTTTTTTTTGTGACAGATATTAAAAATATTTATCATAACTCGCGTAGTCATTATGTTGCTGAAATGTTGCTGAGGTGATCTTAACTCACTCACTCACAACATCCTCCTGCATCGACGTATTCCATAGACCAGCACCACCACCACCAACAACCACAGCACCGCCACAGCAGGTACCAGAAGGGACAACATGGGTGTGTCTGGAGACAGCGATAGATGCATTACGTCAGAAACATGTGCTGCAATTTCACTATCTGTAGGGCAGCTGCATTATCAGTAAGTTTATTATCTCCCGCTTGATATTGCTGAAATATTGCTAAATGTGACATTAACGTAAACTCACTGTAAGTAAGGTAATATGAATAAATTTCAAAGTTTGCACTGTTCATCATCAAAGACATTTGTTACATTTAAGCTAACAAAAATCCACCTCTACGCCATTACAATATGACACAAGTTATCTTATCTCGAAGGAAATTTGGGTTACATCAGCACAAGGTCTCAAATATTAATCTTGTTAACACAATAAAAAAATTAGTGCACGCCGAACGGCCAGCAGGGAAAAAGACATGATATGATATGATATGGTATGATATGATATGTTACTTGGTTTATCAAGCTTCAGATTCCTCCACGCGTTCCCATGTGTGTTGTAGACATGACACATGTACTGTCCCGATCTGTCAACAGCTGGCGTAGACAACACAGCCTCCCTGTGTCCTGTAACCAGCCTGTGTCTGGATGTGTTCCACCAGGTTACAGTGCAGGCAGGGTTACAGTCAGCGGAACATCTCACTGTGAGAGGGGCACCTGCTGCAGCAGTCACTGTGCTGGTTGTTCCATTGAACAGGATCTGCTCTGGTCCATCTGAACAATACGAACATTTAACCAATATTTTGACAATCCGATAAGTGAGCTTGCTGTCGATATTCTCATTCAAAATGTTATTACATCTTGAAGATAGAACCCGAAACTGAGTTAGTCACACTGCCATAAGAATCTACAACCAATCTTTAGTAAACAACAGCCTCTCATATTTACAAATATCGATGATACCTGGTGAAATAGGAATTGGATGATGCTATAAATAAATAAACAAACAAATAAATAAATAAATAAATAAATAAATAAATAAATAAATAAATAAATAAATAAATAAATAAATAAATAAATAAATGAATGAATGAATGAATGAATGAATGAATGAATGAATGAATGAATGAATGAATGAATGAATGAATGAATCAATCAATCAATCAATCAATAAATAAATAAATAAATAAATAAATAAAAAAATAAATAAATAAATAAATAAATAAATAAATAAATAAATAAATAAATAAATAAATATATAAATAAATACTGCATTCGGCCGTGTAGGCTACACGATCGTAAGTACGTCAATATGGAACAGTGTTTAAAGGCACAGTCTTGACCTATTCTGCTGATGGTGGACAGCACAGATCACGGATTCACTCACACTGAACATCCAGGTCGTGTCCGTGACTCCAGTCAGACTCCAGCCCCTCCTCCACAGCCTGACAGCTGTAGTTGCCGCCCCCCTCCTTGCTGATGTGTCTCATAATGAGGTTCGGCCCGGCTACATGAACGTCTTCCTCTCCTTGAATCTTCTCACTGTTCCTCCTCCAGATGTAGGTCATGGTCAGAGGGTGGTCCGGGGGGAGACTCTGAGAAGAGGAGGAGCATGTCAGGGTGACAAGCCCACCTGAGTCAGCTGATGTAGCACCAGTGATGCTCGGCTGTGAAGGTTTCTCTGTAATGACAGATAACATCGGCATTTACCCTGGGTAGATGATCCAGATGTGGGAGTGTTCTCGAGTAAATGATACAGTGTGACAGGTCCAGTCAGGACAACTAACTCTATTCTCCTTTTAGAAAAAAAAAGAAAACATAAAATCCAATAACAATAAAAGGTTTCAAGCAGTGGCACACCGTGACGTGTCTCTCGGCAAAGTTGTCGTTAAATCATATTTAACTGGATATAATGTAATGTTTCCAGTACAAGTGAGGCAGGTCCTGTAAGTGTAGGTGTTTTGTTTCTCAAACAGTATTGTTAGTTTTACATGTTAAACCACAGTACTCGGACAACAACACGAGTGCTCATAAATAATGTTTTACAATGACTTTTCGAATCGCCCTGACACTGTAGTAGTCCAAACTGCTTATCATCAATGACCTAGCTAATAACCAGTATAATAGTTGTGAGACATGTGGTTAATTACAACACAGGTGTTACAACACTACACGCGCGATGGAATCTGCCCATCTGGAGAACATGGTGTTTTGTAGAGTAGAGTACACATGGTGGGAGTTAATGGACTTTCACAAAAGCGCCTTGCTCCACATTTCCATGTTGATCACGTGACAGTCAGTTGTATAACGATACCTCATCATCACTGTCTATGTGTCTTCAACGTGACACAGGTCAGACACGTGTAGTTTTAAAAACTGATTTACATCAAACGCATTTCATATGAGTTGATTAATACTTATGTTGTGAACACATATTTTTCGCAAAAGTAGCCTGATGTCATTTACGATAACTGATTGACGTTTACTAAACAAAATTGAACTATTTGTCGTCTAAATTCATTACGTTTTTTGATATTTGGTCAAGATTTATCACTAGCTACATAAGCTCTGTGCCGTTTATAGAATGTGGCGGTATTTCTACGTGGAAACGCATGCTAATGTTGAAACAGACACTTTATTGTTCTGTGGCTAATAATTCCCCAATACATGCATATGACTCCCGTTTAAAGCACACTATTTCCCTTCTCGTTATTCGTATCCACATTCCACATGTATGGCTTACAGAAAACGGTTATTCATGCTATTTGAAAACTCTATCTAAGTGTGATAAACAATTGGGCAAGTGGTCTGATGTGGCGCTATGCACTGTTCAGGGTGTGCTTTGGTCACGTTAGAGTCCTCGGGGTCGCTCCAATAACGTATATACGTTTGTCAAACATATAGCATGTGGGCTTTACCAATGAGGTAACGTCTGAGACATACATCACAATGGGCTGTCTCTACATCAAGCTGGGCCCATTAATAGGCTTTAAGTGATTCCTGAAGGTGGCATTTACACATTATACAGATACCGTATCCGATTCTCACTCATGTGCAACAAAGAGAAGCTGGTCACAGCCAGGTATCCCCTTGTTTGAGTCAAACGGCAAACATACGTAGAGCCCTGCGTCCTCAGTAGTGACATTATACAGTGTAAACCTGAACTCTGATGGGGTGATGTTCATTGGATGTCTCTGTCTCTGTACCATGTACGGCTGTTGTTCACAATGTCATGCTCAGTGTCAGTTTTTATAAAGAGAAATTCTGTAAAATTAACTAACACGCCGACTTTATACTCTTGTCGAGCCTGGGACGTGTTGAGGGAGATGGTCACGTTATGACCAACACGTGCAACGATGTAATCAGATCCTGTCGTGGCAGACACGAGACATGCAAATAAAACATTATTGTTAATAACGTCCACACAATACTGCACGCACAAAACATTTGACATGTACAATATTGCACACTCAATAACATCTGACATAACTCCGTAAAAGTTCAGCAAATATAGTAGTATATACAATGGGGGTTTTGGACCAGGTCCAACAAAAGCCTCTGCAAAGCCTTATTTGGGAAATAAGGCTTTGGTCGGACCCTTAGCTCTTGCTACCATTACCCCTACTATAAAAAAGTTTGAGACGCTAGCGGGATACGGACTGCACATGTATACCTCACAACCTCGCCTCTTAACCGACTGAGCTACCAGGGGCATGGTTGAAGTATGTCTGTTTAACAGGTCTATCCTGGGATTGTATCATCGTGCCGCTATGCCGTGTTGACTGGAGGTAACACTGTGCCGTACTGTACGATCAATAATTCCGCTCTTACAAACCCCCTACCTGGCCCATCCCTCAAGTGGTACAAGTAAGGCTCGTCTGCTTTGATGTCCACTTTATCTATGTTGTAAGTTTTGACTGACCATATAGGATCGGTGGCTCGTGTTCCCCCGGTTGGTATAGATACCTCACTAGGGCCCTATCTGGTATCTGTTTCTCCTTCCCACGCAATGGAGCAGCCGACTCTGCAACTATTGATTTTAGTTTGATAGCGTCTGCCGGTTTCTTGCCGGTGAGACGGGTGGCTTCATGGTTGATTGCCGACACCACCTTGGGTAACCTCACGACCCATTCAGTCGATCTTTTCCCCGGGTTGGCCATCTCTCTCGCATACTGATGCCCGAATAAGCGCTCAGCCAAAGTCCTATTAAATCTCTCAACTATGGCTTGGCTGCGATGAGCCCCGGCAGCGCCACGCCTGACCTTTGTATCGTGTTTGTCTAACAGGTGTGACACGGGGTCAACTTGCAGCTCTGTTGGCCACGTCAGCGCACTGCGTTTGTATATGCGTTCGAACCCTCTGGCTACCTGGGCAGAATCTTTTGCGGTCAAGGATTCGGCTTCCTTGTAGCGACTGGCCACATCCACGACGGTTAAGTCATACTTGTACCTCTTGTCGCGAGGTAGGAATAGGAGGTCGGCCTGGTGAACGCTATTAGGTATGTTAATACCGAACCTCCTTCTAGGCACGTAGCGTGGTACCGGTAAATAGATCTGCCACAGGGCTTGTTTTTCAAGCCACGCTTTGGCCTCCTCCGGGGGTACTCGCGCCATTTTAGCCAGCTTATCTACAGCGCTAGCTCCTTTCCAGTACCCACGCGGGCTGTAGTAAATAGCCTCAAACTTTTTCTGGTTCCGTGACATGTCTTGGTTCAATTTTCTCATGCCCGTACGTGTACGTGTTTATCCCATCAATAGCTATCCAACGTTTAGTGTCCATAGGCGACAGGGACGTGTTGTTTATTGTCAGTCCGTATATCCTATGGCTATCACTTCTAAGTGTGTTCATTTTATGTCTAAAGGTACGGGTCTTGAACAGGGCTTCCTTGAATCTGGCATGTTTGATGTGTTGTTTCACCACGTACTTCTTAACACCCTTAGCCTTCCGGATCTCACTATTGTGAAGGATGGAGTACATCTTAGGTCTCAAACCTATGTACTCAGCTATGGGTGTGCCAGCACACTCGTCCTTCATCTTACCTAGGACCTTTTTTATTTACCGTGCTGTGTATGGCATGGTCCTTGGGGTAGTCGCTGGTGTCGTACAAATCGAGGGTTTTTTTTATGTCCTCGTACACGTCCTCGGTTCGAATCTCCATCAGCAGGGAATCCGTGTCAGTGTACAGCACTTCACACCTGTTGTCGTACTGTTTCTTAAGCTCGTTGTAGTAAAAGTCGTACATCAGGTGTTTGGATAAATAGAGGATGCTCATCCCCACGTAAACAGGCCGGTTGAATTTTATGTGGCTTTTCTTCATGTGTAGGGCAACTAGGTCATCGGTGAATATATTTTGCTACGGTTAAATGCCGGACTGGCTATCAGTCTCCTGAGCTTGTCTTCCTCATTCGACCGAACCAGCTTCACGGTCACGCGTTTCCTCAGGTTCTCCATAGTCTTACCAAACACCGAGTTGTTCATGAGCTTGTAGAGATTTTTCTCAAAGTCACTGGTGGCAAGCTTTTGGAGGTCTGTGTTCATTCTGATGTAAAGCTCCATCCATGGGCTCTGGTTGAACACGAGCACCCTGTGTATTTTGGCCAGCCTCATACCCAACGACATGTACAGCTGTAGGTTGCGATAGTGAACGATGTACTTGGTCTTATTCATTAAGTTAGGCACGAGTTTTTCAACGTCTGCCACCCGCCCACCTAACAAGTTATGTTGGTACTCAGACATCCAGACTGGGTTAACCCTCATACGTTCGGGGGCCAGGGGGTAGCTGTTCTGTGATGTGTGTAATGCCTTGGGGTATTCCAAGTCAACCTCGAGGATATAACCTTTGTTCGAATCTGGTGCGATGCTCATAACATCGACCTCGGACGATACGCATTCGAATCCCCCTGTGGGTAGATACTGGCTCATAGCCCAGCCGTACAGGTTGTTTGCGTCGAGGTAGAGAATATGATTGGTTGGCTTGCTCGGGTCGTAGCCTTTCACGTATTGATTATTTGCTTTCGCGTATCGCTTGGTTGCCATGGAGATCCCGTCTCGCAAGCCTTTCTCAATGAATAGGTGCATGTCATAATCTGTAAGCAATTCCAACTTAACTCCGGTCTTTTTAAGCAAGGCATCCCATGACAGACCTGGGCTGGTGTAATACCATGCGGGGTCGAGTTTATACTGCTTGAAACATGTTCGCCTAAACGTCTCAAACACGTCGGCTAACAGCAGTACATCTGTCCTCAAGTACAGGTCGTGATAGTCACCCAGATTCTCACAACCAAGTTTTTCCCATACATTAATAGCGTGCGAGTAATCGTCTTGGGATATTTCCGAGTCTGTCAGATTGCTGTAAAATTCTCTGATGGGGGGTAGTCTGGTCTCGGCGAACTTGACCCAACTATCCATGTACTCATAGGGGTACACACCCTTCCTCATCAGCAGGGGTCTAGTCTCGGCGTCTGTGTATCGATCGGTAATAGGGAAGGTATCGTTGGCCTTGACCAGACTGTCTAGTGACGACAGGAGAAACTGAAATGAGTCAATGAACCTAAGGCCGTTTAAGCTGAAGGAGATGTATCTCTCCATGTTGTTGGGGATACACGTTATATTGCCATCGATTTTTGCGATGGCCTGCATGATTAAGTGAGAGTCGTACCCTCTCAAGTTGTGAAAGACCACGGGGATGTTTATTGTCTTAGGGATGATTCTAAGCTTGAGGTTACACGCGCTGTGAGCGGCAC